AGGCAGGAAGGGTTCACAAAATCCTGCGACTGAGCCCTGACAAAGCGGCCACTTAACATTCAAATGTGGAAACAACATCAAATGCCGTGTTCAGAAATTCAACATTGTTATAGAAATCCGCAGGCTTACAGCACATTTGCCTTGCTATTCGATTCGATATATTTGTACGGAGGTATGTAGCTGGTCCTTTTTGTTCATGTTTTTTGCTTAGTTTGAATTTGAACCGGGCCTAATGGCATTCGTAAGTGGCGTCTAAGCTGGGGCATTTTGTTTACTTGTCGCTCCAAGTTGCCTGAAATTCTCAAGCCTTTTATTTTTCCTTCATTTTTCCGTACATTTTGCCAACATTTTCTACCTTTTCACCCCGACCTTTGGCCAATACAAATTGACATGTTATGCCAGAAATGAATTGGGTAATTTTGAATGCGTATTTCAGCCATGATTTGAATGTTTGGGCAAAGTGGAAAAGTTCCTTTTTTTTTTTTTTTGATTTTTCAACATTTCAGGCCATGCAACCAAATGTGATTGTGTCAGTTTGTTGTGTGTTGTTGTGGGTTGCCACTTTGCTGCACTAAATTGCATTTAATTCTGAGATTTGCCCGTTGTGGTGGTTGCCTTTGGGTTTTCCCCTATTTTCCTTTTTTTTTCAGCTCGTGGCCTTCACCCAAATAAACCAGCGAATGTGTGCTGGCATGTGTGTGTGTGTGTTGGTGTGAGTGCGCTGCCTGTGCTTGCCTAAAATTTATGTGCGAACACAATGCACACCAACACCATCACAACGCAACTCTCTGTAGCGAAATGCAAAAGGAAAATATAAACAAACACAAACACACTCACACATACGCCAATTTTTGCATATTTTTTTAGCGGGGCTTTAAAAAATGCGCGGACTCGAAAGAATTAAAAAACTTGTATGGACACACAGTCACACGTTTCTACATAATAAAACGTTGGCATAATTATACCCTCGGGCAAGACGGGCTGTGGCTGTGGCAGTGGATGTGGCGGCGGCTGTGGTGATCCTGACACTTTTTCAGCCAAAAGTTTATTTCATATTTTAAGCAGTTTGCCTCATTTTGTTGCTGATTTAGTTTATAGAGCTTTTTTCTTAGCTATCCTTGATAAACTTTGCTTGTAATATATTGTAGCTCAGAAAAGTTTGCATGCGTCGTCACTGTTAGCTGGCATAATATTGTTAGGATTGCAAAAAATATAACATATCCAACCCTTTCCATATTAATTTTTTAGTGATTGGTTAAATCAACTTTCCTGGCAAACAAGCCAATAAGTGTATCAATAATTAACCATGAAGTGCATTAAATATTTCCCACTTTTCACTTTGTTTCACATTAGTTCGGAAATACCTAAACTGAAAGAAGAACTCATTCCGTAAACATCTCATGAATTATTTAGCAAAATTTGCACTTTCAATAAAGGTCAATCGCAGTTCGTACTTTTTAAGCAGGACATTTATTTTTTATGAGTTGACGCAATGCAAATGAATGGGTTCTAGTTTTTGGCCAATGGCCTTCGGCTTTAACCTCGTCCAAATGTTTTATGGCCTTCGAAGGGCCTACAAAAGTGAAAATCCCCAGACAGACATTGGTTTTGTTCTGCGATTTGAAAGTGTGCTAGATCAGAAGTGTAACAACTTAATTAACTTAAATTCGGTTGATAAGGCGAAGGCGCAGTGCGCCGGATTCCTTTTCATGTTTACGATTTCGACCGAAAAGCGGAGACTTTGAGTTTGACACATTTTCCTTGGCATGCAAGACACGGACAAGTTTGCCACGCTGGCGCTTAAAAAGTTTTCATCCACCCAGCCCACGCCCAACCATCACCCTGCGGAAAAGTCTCGGGCAGAGGATTTTCGCAGCTAAGCTGTTGAGTTGTGGAAAGTGCGGGGTATTGAAAAGAGAGTGAGCGAGAGAAAGCCGAGTACTTTGACGAGATTTGCATAAAATTAGGGATTATTGTTAGCAGGATTCGCAGGGGGGCATTGCTTGGAAAATATTGAACTTTATGCGCATATTGATGGCCAGCGCAATCGGCAATCCTTTGACACGGCTTTGAATCTGAAGATTCCTTCCCCCCAAAAACCACCTCAAGTGCCCACCGCCACCCATTTTCATTAGCAAATATTTGTGGTCCAAGTAGCTCGCTTTGAGTTATGGCCAAAACCCAAATGCGGCTTTGGCCTGGCCAATAAATCAACTCAGATACACGCACACACACACACACTCTGACAATTGTGGCCATTCAATTTGATTATTCAATTGCGAAATTCTGACAGCCGAGCAGAGCTCACAGATGTATTGTCCAGATACCATATCCATGCCATGTACATCGTATACCTAACCATATTCCGTAACCAGATATCAAACACAAAGGCGCCTCCCACCGATAATGACATTTTAAATGCAAAAAGCTTGCATAATTCCACTGCTGATCCCCAACTTCTGGCTCCTTTGATTGCTGCCGCACACAAATTTATGGGCTAGTCGGCCAAAGAAAGTTGTCTCTCTATTAAAAATAAATTATAGACACGGGGCAGGGGCAGAATATACGAAAAAAAAAAATTGTATTTGCCTTGGCCACCACGTCGGGGGCCATAAATTTCCGCAAAACAAACTGACTTTGTGGCCAAAAAGGCAGTAGGAGAGCAGGGGCAGAGGAGGTGAAGGCAACAGGTGCTGGCCAACGCGTGCTGGGCACCTCCTCCTCTAGGAGGAGGTCCTGGCTGAAGGACTTCCGGCCAGAGGCTGGCCCCCTGTCTACTGTTTAATGCATGCCCTTTTCACATGGATTCGGCCCCGAGTTCGGTCCTGCCCTGGCCCAAAGCGATAAATCACAAAAAATGTTGCTCTTTTGCATTAAAATTTACAACCTACTAAACAAGACAGACGTCCAGAGTTGCCCACTTGACATGTGCACGCGCGCGCTTCTTGTATATTATATTTTTAGGATCAATGGAATGAGTGATTGCGCATAATTTAGGCCACTCCCCTCTCCTTCTTGAGGACCAAACAGCGGTGGCTTTAAGTCCTTGGCTCGGTGGTCTAATTAAGTCGGCTATAAGTTCCCGGGGAAGTTCACTGTCCAGCCAATTACACGCAAATCAACTGGGACCCCAGTTGTCAGACAATTAGCGACTAAGGCGACTCAGCTGGCAACCCGGGAAAAGCGTCTTTGCCCGTAATCAATTGAGCGATATTGAGTTATTAGGCTTTTCATACCGCCCTTTGCCAGTGGGTGGTTTCGAAGGGTTCGGGGGTGTGGGCTTTACGGAAAAGTCTCTGTGAGTGTGGTTACCCTCAAATAGCATTTAATGTGCTCTAATGCGAATGGCATTGACATCCGCTTCACTGCGAAAAAATGTTACAAAAATATTGAATATTAAATAGATATTAGTTCTAAGTTCTTATTTTCTGTAACTGCTCAGCTCCCAAATATTTATCAAAGAAATTTAGTTTACATTTTCAGTTTCAGCTCAAAAATATACAATCAAAGCATATGAAGAGCCTTTTTTATGCTTAAATAAAGATCCCCATTTAACTAGAACTAGAACCCCTTTTTCTTCAGTGTAAAAGCCAACGAAAGTGAGTCTCAGTCTGAAGGCACTCAGCTGTTAAACGCGACAACGATGATGACAGCCATTTTTGGTAACAGAATGTTTGCTACAACTTTTCGCGGCCAATTTTGTGGCCCACTGACTGACAATGGGAAGTGGCAAAGCCTGTCGCTGTCTCTTTCGATGTCGCCATCGCCGACTCTTTCGCCGGCTCTATTTCCCCCTCCTTTTCCATGACACTGACAATTAGATTTTGCTACAAGAGAATTAAAAAAACATAATAGATTAAATTGCCGATGTTTTTCGAGCCAAAAATCAGGATTACTTGAGGGAAAAGGCAGCTTATTTTTCACGTTTAAGAGAGAACAGCCAAGGTTTTGGTTGATAGTCATCATAGTCAGGGAGAATGGACTTTTGCCTTACGTAAAACATTTTAAAAATTAAAAACTTTTCACATTTTCATAAATTTTTTTAAATTAACGTGCATTTTTAATAATTTAAATATTATCGGAAAGGTTAAATATTAACTGACAGGTAATGTTAACGGGCATGTTAAGTTAACATATTATTAAAGTTCATTTTTGGCACTCTAAGGTACCAATAATTCCCAACTGGTTTTAGGTGTTTTCAACATGACTAGGGCTCTGTTGACCAGCCATAAATCAGTCCAGTGATCCTATAGTGAGTGTGTGTGTAAGTGAAGCGATTGGGAGTGGTGGAATCCAGGCTTGCTCAGCTTTTCTGCATTATCCAGGTACCACCAAGGTTATGGCACACCATGATATTTGTAGTACCTGGATTATCCAGAAGAGGCAGTGCATCCTGGATTTGGCCACTTCCAAATACATTACTTACTTGGTGGCACTGAAGTGCATCTGGAATTCTGGTGACGCGGATGCTGAACAAATGTGACGTTACCTTCAAGCCCAAAAATTGACTGAATATTTATTGCAAAAGCCGAGGAGTATATTTGCACCATAATCCGCAGTGCTTCGAACGGCTTCTACGCCGCCAATGCTGCTGCTGCTGCGATCGCTCTCTGTCCGTCATCCCTGGTGACTAGTTACCCCTTTTCTGGTTTATGGACAGCTGCCTCTGGGAATTTAAGGAGTTTATGGACCAACCACTCGGAGATACTTCGCTTATTCGGCATTGATATGTCCGCTCTACTTTTCTGCGTTGGAATCCGAAACCTTCTTCGTTGGTGATCTACCCAATGTCTTGGTTATCTGGGTACTTAGCTTTGAAATTACCTATTACGATATCTTTGTCTTTATTCTTCTTACCAAGTGTTACTTAATGACAGCACTAGCTAGCTTTGAAAGAACAGAAATCCGATATCTATCAAGTGACAATATTAATAAGAGCAATGGAAAAACAACTTTCAGCTGTTTTTTAACCGATATTGCTTTATAAGTCAGAAAAGCGGTTCACTTTCAGTACAGTCTGCCTTTGGCCAGCCATCCACCATGAAGGTGTCTTTATTACTGCTCACACTGGTCTCCCTTTTATTGCTGGCCAAATCTCAGATCTCAGTAAACCCGCATGATGTGGTCACCTTACCAATTATAAGGACGACAAAAACGACTCCTAAGCCACAGAGTCCTTACTGCCAGCCAAAACTGTGCCCCAAAGGACAACACCATGTGGCGTGCGAAAACTATTATAAGGTGACTTTTTCTCATACTACTATACCTTGGTCAAACTTTTGTCTTGAATATGTAAAAACCATTAAACAAAACTCTAAATAAAGTTTATCTCCCATAATAGAGCCTTCACGGAGCTTGTCCCGCCAAGCAGATACATTTTGTGAATCTGACCGATCTCGCCGAGACTATCATTAAGCAGCACAATCAGCGGCGTTATCTATTGGCCAGCGGCAAGGATTCCAAACTGCCAAGAGCTGCTCGAATGGTGGCCATGCAATGGGACGAGGAATTGGCCGCCGTGGCAGGATTCAATGTGAGGATGTGTCAGCCCATGCACGACGATTGCCGCAATACAGTCAAGTACCCAAGATCCGGACAGAATATCATAGTATTCAATATGACACACCATGTGGAAAAGAAGGTAATGGAACAGCTCTACCAGGAGTTAATGTCCATTGCCGTCAATACCTGGTGGTCGGAGGCAGAAAATATGACTGCCGCGAATATGGAGCTTTTTCCATGTGATGAGAAAAGGCAAAAGTGAGTTGAAAAGTTCCTTAACTTCATTTGAGATCAAAGCCTCTGTGAAACCAACTTCACTCCATCCCACAGAGCGTACCGCCACTTTGCGGTCATGGCCGTCGAGGGAAACTCGCACGTGGGCTGCGCCGGATTGCTCTACGTGGTCAAGAACCTGACCCAGTTCAAGCTGACCTGCAACTACGCCCGGGCTCCGGTATGCGGACAGCCGATCTACCGCTTCCAGCCCGTCGGTTGCCAGACGGGCCGCAACAAGAAGCACTCGTCCTTGTGCTCGCCCACGGAACTATTCCACTGAATTCCCAATTTGGGGGTCAGGGTAGCGCCACTTCATTTATAACATCCACATTGAATGCATCTTGTTTATCCATGTTTATCCGAAACCTGGCCATAAATACCAAACCGAAGGACTGGTCGCTTTTCAGCTGGCCATGCAAAATTCAAACAACTCCATCGGAATGGAATTTCTGCCAATTTCCTGTGACGAACCAGCCCCGAGGTTCTTGGCGGGCTTGGCAGGAAGTATCGATGGCGGTGCAATTACCTGCATAACAGCCCGGTAAAATAGCCACACAGAAAGAAAACTCTGATGGAAATATAAATTTTATTATACCCTTCGTATGTTTGGACAAAGCTACTTCGATTTATAAATGTCTTATTGAAAACTCTCCCAGAGAACTTTAAACAAAATATGACCTGGATAAGGCTTATGATTTTCCCAAAGTACACTTGTGGCTTTGAAGGGCAAACGATAGTAAAAATGTCAGTGGCAGACATTTCTATATCCGCAGATACAAGGGAACTTTAAGTGGCAAAAAATCGAAGCGAAATGATGCAATGCTCTTCATTATGGCCATCCCCACTTCCGTCGCCCCTTAATGGGCGCAAACAACTTGATTAGGACAACTTGCGGGGTGGCCAAGCTCGTTTAATTTAATTTTATTTCTGCATAAACTTTATGGCTTGTTTAGGATTGGGATTTAATGGCCAATCGAGTGGCATTGGGTCATTAACCGACTTGCAGCAACGGCAATGGGGTAAGATTTTTAGAGACCTCCTCAGCGAAATGGGATGCTGTTGCTGAACAGTATCATAAAAGCTAACTACCTCTGAGTCTGCCAACAGCGGGGCGAGGGGAGGTTGAACATGTGTTTTTCTTAGCAAGAACCGATACTAGAGATAGTTAATTAAAAGTGCCACACCGATTGAATGGCTGAATAATGTTCATTGGCCGCGGGAGGGGAGGAGCTCCTCTGTTTTTCAATCCGATTAGCACTCTCCACTGCACTGCCATTCCATTATTTTATGCGACTTCATTTGATTGAAATGCATGAGAGTTTGCTGGCGGGTTGGCTGGGTTGAATGAAAATGGCAAAGGCGGGAAATCGAGTTTTCCCGCAGCTTCTGGCAGCTGGTTTTTGGATTTGGCTTGGCTGGCATTTAACTGGTTACCTCCATTTCGACCACTCACCATTCCATTCGCATGTCTGACACCTGGCGAGGGAAAAACTAAAAGTCACCACTTCCGCAGCACATAAATTTGAAGCGCTGCTCGCTTTTAAGGCTTCCTCTTGGATTTCCAGAAAAAAAATGCAACAAGCTGGGCGAATAAAAAAAAAAATACTAGACGGTGTCCCTCGCTTACCATTTTTCCCTTTTTTCTATATATATTTTTTTAGTTTTTTGCAGATCGTTTTGCTCTCGCATTGCATGCCAAATTGTTCATGTAGTTTGCAGTTTTTGTTTCGCCACAATTTGTTTTGCCTTGGCTAACCGTTCCCTGTTCGCTTTTCACTTTGCCATTTCCTTTTTTAAGCACTTGAACTTAAAGCTTTCTCGTTTTTCCGGCAAGCGACGAGTAACAATTTATCAAAGTTATGGAGGTGGATCCGAAAGTAGAGCAAATGTTTGGACCCGTCATGAACCCCTCGAATAAATATCTATTAAAGCCCTTCAAGTTCTTCGTTGCAAGTGAAGATTTACGGGGACTCTAGACTCTAGACTTCTTCTCCTGATAATGGTGCATTAGCGTGTAAAGCGTTTTCGATGCACTTCCAACGGAGACAGTTGCCATTGCATTTTCCCCCATTTTCTCCTCGGTCCAAGGACCAAAGTCATTATCATTGTCAGCACGTAAAGCTTGCTCGCATGTTCAATATGTGTTTCCATTGCCTGGATGTGTGAGTCTGTCTCTGTGACTGTGTCTGTGAGTTGGGTTTTCGCGGTTTTCCTTTTGCATTATGCCTTTGACCGCACTTTTCTTTTGTCTCTACCCTCTCTCTGCACGTGTGTGTGTGTGTTTGTTTCACATATATATATACATCCATAAAGCTGGTGGAAGAGGTGTCCCGCCCCAAAAGGTAAATGCCACTTGAAAGTCTTTGCTTTTTATGCCCCTGAGCCACGGCTCTAAAAGGTAGACTAAAAGGTGGTATAGAGTTTATTGGGCTGAAGTGCTAAAGCAACGAGGCTTTTAACATTTTTGGCCTACATTTTTAACGAATTGCGTTCTCGTTCTCCCACATGGAATTGGTATGTTTACCAAATATAGGACAAGCCATTAGAAAATTAATGCAAGGGCCTTAAGAATTTGTAGTTAAAGGAGTTTGAGATAGACTGTCTTCTAAAAAGGGGAAGAAAGTGTAAGTTTCTTACATAAATAAGTAATTTTTCTTTTAAAGTTGTTAAAGCAAAGGATATATATTAATTTTATACCAACTCAGAATCTATTACCTCCAGCGTTTTGCCTTGCAACAGCTTTATTTCTACTTTATTTAAATTTGCATTTATAGTTGGCCTGGTAAAGTTTAGTTACCACTTCTCGCGCCGCTTCAAAAGCTTATCAGCTCATCAGCTCATCGAGAACTGCCTTTGGGGATGGAGAGTCTCCATCGGAGACGCGCCTGCAAATCGCTCCTGGCACTCATCATTCGGTCTCAGTTCTCAGTTCTCAGTTCTCAGTTCTGGGTTATTTTTATTTTTATGACTTCAACTTCCCTTGGTAATGGAGCTCGGTTTACGTTTATTAGCATACTTCTCAGCGGCTTTGGCCGTGGCTCAAGGTGCGTTTAATGGCGAGCATCTAGTTGCCTTCGCCGGGCACTTTATGACTTCATTAGGAAGCCATTTACGAGTATGTGCTTCAGATGTTTTCCGCCTGCCCATTTGCTATATACGTATCGTTATTCGAGTGTATATATATGTTTAGAGATTCCCTCGATTCCTCTTACCATCCTTAATGGCCTCGATTTGAAGGCCAATTGATTTGTTAGAGACAAAGCCAACAAGAAGGAAGGGAGAAATCAAGAGTGGCCAGAGCTAAAATCTAATGAAATTTATGCAGGCGCTGCAATGCGGCTAAACATGAATGGGAAGCCTCAAACTCTCACTCTCACTCACCTGGCCATGTGGCGGCAACTTTTACCTGGCTTTTCCGCCAGTTTACAATGTGCCATGAGTGTGGATGCACTCGGAAAAAGTTTGCATTTTATATATGTTCATTATTTTCTTAAGCTGTTGCATATTTCCATACTTCTCGTTAAAATTAAGTTCCATTTTATTAAAATTTTTTAAAATTTATATTAAATTTTCCTAGCTTATTAATGATTTTCCGAAATTTCGTCAAGTGCACAGCTGACCTAGTTAACTGGCCGGGAAATGGCAAAGAGGCAGCCTGGCTGTTTTTATGAACACTCTGGGAATGCCTTTGTCTCGGCTGTTGGCTTAGCTAAAACCCGACATCGATGGCCAGCTGGAGCCAGATTGGCGACCTGTTTCTCCTCTCCCCCCCGGAGTAGAAGTCCCATGCCCCGTCTCGATTCCATAGCTCAGCATGTGGAAGTAACAGTTTAGCGCTCGAACAGGCCCCAAGTTGCATGGCGTTGGCACTTTTCACTTTCGCCCGAAAAATCCTAAAGTCGAGCATATTTCTCTGGCTAAAGAGAAAGTTTCTAACGTCCTGGCGGCAGCCAAATACAATTTGTGCTCGGTTTCGTAAAAAACAAACAACTTAAAGTGCTCGGGAATGGAAAGGATGAGCATCCTGATACAAGGTGTCAGTCTCCTGCCAGACAGCCTGAAAGACCGAAAGACCGAAAGAAAGAAAGGAAGGAAGCTTTTTCAAAACGCCAAATGATAAATGCATTTTTAATGGAGCCACCGAGATGTTCGGGGCGGAAAAGCGAGCATTTTCCGGCGGCAAGGCTTAGCGGTAAGCGTGAATGAGAACGGCGGCAAGGGGCGAGGAGCAAGGAGCGTTAGCATTTTAAAAGTCCTTTCTGGTTGGGTGAATGATTAAGCTAATGCGGCGCTCCTTTTAAACTCGCTGTTTTCTTGTTTCAATTAACCGAAGCTAGCAGACGAACAAATTGCCTCCCCTTCCCTATTTTCACCTTCTAAACAAATGCTCGACACGTGTGTGTGTGTTAATAAATTGCCAGAGTTTAACCTTTTGCCAGGGCAATTGCCAGGGCTTTTATTTGTGCAATCAGCCTGTAATGCAATGAACCCCGTTGCCCTCTACAATTGTTTCCACTCGTGCTCACACTCCCAGTTGCCGTTTCCATTTAATCAATATTCCAAACACAAAGCCGACAAAAATGGAGATATAATAAAAAAAAGAAACAGAAAACCAGAGCTGTGAATCCAAAATTGTGGCTAAACAAAAACTAAATGGTAAGCAGAAGCTAAGGCAAAGGGTCGAACCAAAAAATAATGGGGTAGAGAGGATGTGAGCGCCTAAAAGCATGCCACACAAATTGAAAATAAATGCCAGCGAAACAAAAAACGCCTCGCTGACCATTTTAATTTACTAAGTTTTGATGATGCACAAAAAGGCAAAAGAGAATCGGTAAAAAAATAAACCCAACCGGCCAGAACATAAACTGTACCTATATGTACACAGCTATTTGATGTATAAAATGTACAAACTCAGTGAAAAAGCAGGGGGGAGGGGAGGGGAAAGAGTTGAGCAGTGAAAATGAAAAATAGCTTACCGTGTGTGAAAGGGGGATTTGCCTTGGAGATAGTTATTGATATTTGTACGCTCGGTGTGGCTATGGCCAGCACCTGGCCAGCAATCAATTCATAATGTTGTGCAGAACGGCACCCAGAAATGGCTATCCAATGACCGAAGCAGAGTGAATTTATGGCCACTACTGGACGAGATAGAACCGCAGAGCAATGTCATTAACTGGAAGGCGAAAATGAACCGAAGAGCTGGCGCTCCAGCCGAAAGTGGGGATGCGGGATAAATGAGCTGTTGATGGCCAGCCATAAGGATGCTGTAAGGATAAGCTGGTGAAATTGCTATAAAATTACTAACGAGTTGATTAGGTCACTAAAAAGGAAAAGCTTCACAGAAAATTGAAATGGACAGGAAGCTGGAGATGGAAAGTTTTATGCATTTCAAAATAAATTCTCATTTATTATTTACGTCTGGGATTTGTTGTTCGAAAACATGATGATCCTTTTTAAGAAATAAATTCCATCATAAAAAATAATATTTTATAACCTCCCATAATATCTTAACTTAAACTTTCCAGCCAATAAAAGCAACAGTAATTTCCCAAAGCCTCAGGCTAGGAAAACTTTAACGTAGACCAGGTGGAAAGGCAACGCTCAGCCTAACTTTTAATCTGTACT